GTACATGTGTGTGTGTGTGTGTGTATGTATGTATGCATATATATATATATATATATATATATATGCTAATCCAGTAATGAACAAACACTAGTTGAGTAAATATTTTTACTTCAGTAAGAAGAAAAGTGTATTTAACACATACTCAAAACTTGTAGTATTTCAGTATATAGTCATTAACCACCAGAAAAGGCCAAACCACTGCAAAAACAACAAAAGGTCCAAATAAACAAAATATTTGTTTGCAGAAAGCTGAAGTTTGTATTTTTGTTTAGGGGTTAAATTTGGTAGATTGTGTATCCTTAATTATGAATATGATCTATTTATGTGGATACTTCTGAAACCAAAAACATTATATGTGTTCCCACACAATATTATCTCTCCTGGTGCTGTTTATTCTTTTTCATTGGTTAACAGTTTGATTCTCTTTATTGTTTTTCTATCCTTTTTCCTTTCATTCTTCATATGGACATTTTTGTTGTTTTTCACTATGGTTTTAGTCTTTGGTGGTTATTAACCACATATAATGTTCATGTATATACAATATTATACAGTTGGGTGTTAAAACATGGAAAGGACTTTCTGAAAAAATAAAGGAGGATTTAGGTTTACTTGTTGATGAAAGCCTAAAGACTGGCTGAGTGTTCAGTTGTCATAAAGAAAAACATCTACAGTTCTAAGTTCTGTTTTTAGGAATTTTAAATATAATATTATAAAGGCTTATACTGTTACCTATTTTTAAAGGCTGATGAGGCTTCATATACTGTTACTTGTGTAGTTTGGTCCTCTCACTAAAGAAACATACATGTACTGAGGAATGAATAAATCAAACAACTTGAAGCCTACTGTACTAAGGTAACTAGGCAGTGCTTAAGTGGCACGTGATGACAGCCAGGCTTTTGTTTTCCATTTTCAGTGCTTTATATCTAGCTAGAGCTAGTCATAATTGAATAAGTCCTATTCATGCAAACAGGTTAACAACTTGGTGGTATCGAATATTCATAATTATCATTTGTCCTTGTCCAGTAATTTATGACAAACAGTTATGAGCAACTTATCCAGTAATCAGCATTTTCTGGAGTGAGTAAAGAATAATTAATATATTAACTTACCATAAGTTTTTTTATTAAAGCATCTTACATAAGGGTTAAAATAATTTGTATTGCAAAATGCAAAGCAAAATGGGCCTTGTATTAATCAATTGTGATCTTGTGTTACTAAATTAATTTAAGCCTTGCCTACATTAAATGACACTGATTATATTTATAACTGTGTATATATAAGTTATGAGTGCTTAGAATTAAAACTACACTATTATTTAGACATACAATGTAAACACCAACAAGCATTGGTGTGATTAGTTATGTAGCCAACGACCACTAGGCCACAAGGCCCCACTACCTCATATTTGTGAGTTGTGTACAAACATGATGCATGCTAACAGAAGTAGTAATGGCTAACATTTTGATTACTTAGCTAGTTGGATTAAATTGGAAGCACAAATTTTGATTAGGTGTTACTTTTTGTTTCATGAAATTAAACTGAACATCTTTGAATTAATTGAAAATATTATTGAGAAATAATTTTGATTTAATTAAATTCTTGAAACAATGGAAAACAGTAGTTTTCCTTAATTGATTATTTTGTGACGTTACTCAGTCATAATTTTGATTAGTTGATTATTCTACAGTGTACTAAATGATGTAATTGATGCTGATAATTAATAGTTGATTGACCACCTCTGATTAAGGTTTTTCTTAAGCTGAAACACTTTTACGTGAATTGAATGTCATACTTTTTTATACTGAATTTGTGTTTCCATGGTATAATTATTATCGTAATGAATTATAAAACTGCTTACCATTCGATATGGTAACCAAAGTACACAATATGGCAGCATGCCATTTCCAAATTTGTTTGAAAATAAAAAGCCAAATTACTTAAAGTTTTGTTAGATGAAGAAGTAACAAAATTTCCAAATGATCAGGGAGTAATTTCTAGTCCTTGTGTGTATGAGATGAAATACATTTAGTTGTCTTTAATATATTGGTCAATATGGAAGAGATCTGAAAATTTAGATATATGGCTGGAAAACAGGATTTGCATTATCACTGTGCCTCTTTGGTCCCCCCCCCCCTAAAAAAATTGATCTTCCATTATAAGAATATTAAAAATAATTTTTCTGTCTGTAACACTAGAATTTAGTTTTATATGTATGTGTGTGTATATATATATATGTTTTTAGAGAAACCTTGTACACTGTGTCTTAATCTTTGAATGAAATAACTTTTGCATGTTGAAAGATGTTTACGATGTCTTTGATTTCACATGTGATATCAACATAATATTTTATAGTAACACTACACTATACTTAAGCATCTTCCATAGAAGTTGAGACACAATTGCTACAATATAATTTCCAGGTAGAATTTGTGAGAAGGGATTTTAGAAGGATATGGGAAAAGTTAAATGTAATTTGTGATATTGATATTTATTAAAAATGTGAGGTCACATGTTAACTTGCTGAACATTACTACTTTCACTAGCCTTTGAATGAACTAATAGATCATGTTAAGACAATGAATATGACTAGTGATGAGCTGAGGTAATTCTAACATATTTTGAATATATATATATCTGAAAATTAAAAAAAACATATTTAGAAGAGGCTATATAGTTGAAAAACAAGATAAGACTTAAATAAGTTGCAAGCTACAAGATTTTTTGAAAAACTGTGTTTTCTGTTTATTATGAGTTTGATGGTGGTGATGGTGATAGGTCTTTGATGTTTGTTGTGTTCTGTTCTTCTCTGCTATAGATATGAACTTTATTTATTTCAGGGAAGAAGTATTATGTGGATTGACTGGAATGCCTATTAAATGAAGTGGAATTTTTCAGCATTTACGGAAGAAAAAATGAAACTAAACTTTGATGTGAAAACCTTTTGCCAGAACTTGCGAGCCACTAAACCTCCGTATGAATGCCCAGTACCAGACTGTAGGAGGATTTATCGAAGTTTTAGTGGTATTCAGTTTCATTTGTACAGATTTGATCATGAAAACCCTGACAATAACAGTCCTCAGGCATACTATCATTATTCAAAAAAAGGAAATAAAAAGAAATTAAGGTGGAACAGTAAACAGCATCAGGGATCTCCATCCCCTCCACCTTTTCAAAACACAATAACTCGGGAAGGCCTCACATATGCTGAGGCTCAACGTTTAGTAGAGGTTGAAGTTAATGGCCAGACTTTTAGGCTTGATATTAACGAACCTTTGGATGTTGTTATAGTTGATGAAGAAATAGATCCTGAAAAAAAAGTGGAAAAATTGAACAATGTTGTTAATTCACCTGAGAAAAACTTTAATAAATCTAGTAAAGCCTCAGATAATAATAGCACTAAAAATAACAAAAATGGTGGTTCAGAAGAAACCAAACTTCCTGAGCCTTCTTACAGAATAATACCTTCCTACAATCCTCCTGATGCTCCACCAAGGCCAACGTCATATTACAGATTTATTGAAAAGTCTGCAGATGAGCTTGATGAGGAAGTTGAATATGATATGGATGAAGAGGTAGGTTTTAATGATTTATGAAAAGTAAAAGTGAAAACAAAATTCATTTGGGTTTATATTTTGTGAAGTAATGTAACAAAATAACATTGAGGACAGTATTTATTCTTAAGTGTACAGTGTATGAATTAGTTTAAGATGACTGAAAGCTGTAACACTGTACAAGTTTAGCAATCAAACACTGAAACACTTAGCTCTCTCGCATTAAAAAGTAAGGAGATGAGAATTATTTAAAAAAAAAGGTTTTTAAGCATTTTTTAAAAATATCAAACCTAAATAATTGCTGAAAAATTAGGTTCTGGCAAGGTGATTAAAATATATATTAAAAGTAAAGATAAAAGCACAAGTTTTTATTGTATGTTACATTTTTTAGACACAGATATAAAATTTTTATCAAGGGTTAAACTTAATTGACTTATTTTATTTTTTTACAGAATTTTATATAAAAAAAATGCAATGTTAATCTTGTTTTTCTCATTTTTAAAACCAAAAATTACATACACTAAGTTTTAGATAATTGTAGTTGTAAAATATGACACCAGTAAAAGTTTCATGTACATGTGAATTAATGCAGAATTTTCCATAAGATTGTGTAAAGTTCTGTGACAACAGGATATCATTTATGTGCAGTTCTTAAATTTTTTTCAGCACATTATAAATATTTATCTGAAAGTGGCTGGATTTTTGTATTATATTACTGAATTACCTCATGATTGGACCCTAGACAAATATACATTACTAGTGCATCTACCTTCTAATATGAATAAGTTGTAAACCTAACTGAGACTGCCAAGCAC